ATCTCTTTAGCGTGCTACACACACACACACACACACAAACATTCCAAGCTTGGAGACTTGTATCCACATCTGAGCTAGCAAATTGCCAATCATGCCTGGGCTTGGGGAGAAGGCCCTCTCCTACCTCTGTGGATAAAAGTCCCCAAACCTGGAATGTGGTGTGTGTCTGTGTGCGCGTGCATGTGCTTGGCTGCTAGCAGTTTGGGGATGTGAGGAGTTTGTGAGTCAGCTGTGTCCAGTGAGTGGCGTCAAGCAGGCCACACCCACCTGCTAGGCAACTGGTGGTACTCGAATATTGCTGTAAGGTTTTCCACTTAGCCTCACAATTGTCCCAGCATTACTCAGGAATTTAAAAGAGCCAAAGAAACTCCTGAGCCGAGGTTTCAGCAAGCAAACAACTTTTATTTTGATCAAAATAGAGTTGGGTGACCCCATCTCTCTTCGTGGCTGGTAGAGAGATGAAGGCAACAACCAGGAAAGATGTCTTTGGACTGAGGACCAGGGTTCATGAACATGAACTGGCTATTAGAAGGCAGGAGCAACGCCCACAAGTGTGGGCCCATATGTCCAGCTCTGGCCACACTTTCGATCTAGCTAATGCGGAGGTCATAGCTTGTGAGACTACCAAGGGTGGCCGCCTACTTAAGGAAGCCTGGCTCTCTAATGAAAATTCCATCAACCGGCATATAGATTTTTTGCCGGCCTACCAGACTCTTAGGAGATGGGAAAAACAGCATCACGGCCTGCTGAGAAGACATTTAACTCTTCCTTGGCAGGATTGGGGCGGTGGAAGGATGGATGAGACGGGCACGATCTCTAAGAAAGAAGATGACAGCGTTTCACAGAATTGGGACGATGGCTCTATAGGTGGTGGGACGACCATGACTCCCATGGACCGAGATGATGAACCAAACGGCCCCAAGCCAAGGATGGAAGTGCTGAGGCGATCTGGAAGGAGGGGGAGGGAGGGGGAAGACAGAGCAGGAATGCCGGAACAGCTGCTTGTTGCAGGACTGGGGTGGAGGAATTACGACAACGGCCTTGGGGGTGGGGGAGGATAATGGTCCTGAGAGGGAGGGGGACTGGGCGCAGGGACGAATTGACAGCCGCCCTCCAAGTGCTTGTACACGCTCCAAAAGAGCACTTGAGGATCATAAAACAACTAGTGGAGTCAAAGACAGTTTGCCTGAGGCAGAACAACTGCGCGATAGGGATTAACACAATCAACGGGCCGATGACGCGCTCAAGGAGCCGGGCGCAGAGGCAGGAGGCTATATGAGCTGCCTTCCCGATCTCCTGCTATTCTAACTCTGATGATGCCGGCAGGTTTTGGCCGGACGAAAGCTTAGGACTTTTTTAACCACAGACTTGTTTATATTAAACAGGCTGGTTTATTTTATCCTGGTGTTCGTTTTTTCTTTTATTTGTTAACATAATGCCCAGGATTCGCATTTTTAGCATTTTAAAAGACATATATATATGTATATATATATATATATATATATATATATATATATATATATATATATATATATATATATATATATATATATATATATATATATATATATATATATATATATATATATATATATATATATATATATGAGTGCTTTTTGTTTGAACACCCTGTCGGCCCAAATATGGGAAAGAGAAATCTTTTGCCTGTATCAGCTCAATCTAGAGCCATCCACAGGCAGCAGTCGCTTAACTGCGACATCATATGTGTTTTTCAAAATTTGGATTGCTAACAAAGAATTAAGGGAGTACTGGGATAGCTATTTCTAACCTTATTTGGTTTCAT